ATCATTGATGAAGTAAATGCTTTTTCTACTTGTAAAAACGCCACGTTCGTGAATTTCAGATTATATATCATCTTCTATTTGAATAACTATGTCCTGTTACTGACTAGTGGGGTCTCAATGACAGAATGGTTGGCTGATTATTACCCCCTTTGGTCAACTTGCTGTATGTCCTGTTACTGTTATTTGTGATACAATCGTCACGATATGGCTGAAATATTGCCGATGTGACGTACAGCATAAACTCACTCACTCACTCACTCACTCACTCATTGTGATACAAAGGTAACTGTTATGCTTCTTCTGGTGTAATCTATGAAGGTAACCAATGAATAGATCAATTAAAAAATAATCTCTAGAAGTTCACCTACGAATTCTACTCGTGTAGCATGTCTTTATTATCTATTGTAATAACTTCGATAGGAACTTAGCCTTGGTATTCGTCATGTGAACAATGTGATGATACATGTTCATGTATACCTGGAAGAAAAATACAAATAAAAAATAAATAATAATAAGCACAAACGTTAGAGTAGCGTGTCGAACTCACCGCTGATGTAACATAGGCGCCGATGAATAACGCAGAGAACAGATTCAGCAACCCTGCACCTATCACATAGATAGACACCGTCTGTCCCTCTGGAGGGAGTGTTCCTCTGATGACCCCGAACAGTAAACAACACAGTGTTGGAATCTGGGTTGTAAAACAAGGAAAAAGAATATGGCCAACAATTTTGTTTCCAGTGTTCAGCATTTCACAGAGATGTGCGTGACGTCTACGCAGTGATTCGCATTGTTCATTTACCATTTCAGAATCAACCATTTCTCTCACCAACTTATTAATCTGTACAAATTCCTTCGCAACTAATCGAGCAGTTGCAATAAAGAATATGTAAGCTGCTGTTGAAGCATAGCTACTGTAGGTGACCATGAGACTACAGGCGCTGACACCTATGTAGTGGGGGACGCCACTGAGCTCTGTGAATGGATAAAGGTACCGGAATCGGGAATTGATGACGGCAGGTGAGGACGTCAAGTTTACAGTCATAAAGACACATGCCTGAAGGAACCAAAGCACAATTATAACGATGAAAAGTCGCTTCAAACACTTTGTTGTTCTTCCCAACTTGGCTTCGTTGTCATATCTATCGAAATAGGATGATAACTCGATGACAAAGGTGTGCATGTATTTGGAGGATGCGATGGCAACGGCTGGCAATTGGTATGCGGTCCATAAGGCAGAACACCATGAGGCTAGAACTGTCATCATGTTGGCGGACAAAGTGAGTTCTTTCAACAAGATAACGCTCAATCTGATGAAATTTGCAACTTGCAGTAAAGACATGAAAACGCAGTATAAACACTGCAAATATCGCCATCTTTGCTTGGTCTCAAATGAAACGTACATTCCGCCGACTTGGAGAAACCTGGTCAAACATTTCATGTAAAGCTGCACATCGCTTGTTGCAGCCATTGCACTGTGTGACGTTACAGGGACGCGTCTCTGAGCATATGACTCTAATATCTCGCTTTTAACGTCAGATGGTTTCTACCTTCAAGTTTGCAGTGCTCTCCAGATGTCACTGTGCTGAAAGCCAATAGTCAATATGATTAACTGGTCCATAATAGCATCATTATCCGATTTTGTTGAAACCATTAGTTTATTTGTACTGCTATCATATGCACTATTACGTTCCGATTTCCAAATTCAAACAATTACTTAACCCAGAATTATGTACGCAAAAGAGTGAGTGAGTGAGTGAGTGAGTTGGGGTTAACGCCGCTTTTAACAGTATTCCAGTCATATCACGGCGTGTCAGCTTAATGTGGGAGGAAAGCCCCAAGTGATGCAGGTCTCAGACGTTTACCACTTCGGTGAAACCCACGAGCACGGGTATGGTGCTGACAAACCTAGAAACATAATCGGGGCGAACCGGGATTCGAACCCACAATCATAGGTTTCGGGCGTGCCCAAGAGACGCAACTCTGCACAGCGAATCGCGGCGCCTTAGGCGACTGGGCCACCCGTGCCCCCGTACGCAAAAGAATGCAGTGTGAAACCAACACACAACAAAGATTAAAATTAACTAGGTTTACAAATCAATACCCATTACTGCAAAATAATTACAATGACAGTACACAATAGAGTGGTGGTACTATATTCAATTATTCAAACACAATTACAAAGGCAGTTTAATATGAGAGTAGTGGAAATAATATTCACCTAGCAGCAACAGTGGTCTGAAAAGTGATCTTCACACAAAAGTTGGCCTTGATGTAACGTTAGATGATATATGCACGCGTTTGTCAACTTATTTACATCTATACAGAGTTAGTCTTGGGGTACTAGAATATTTCAGAAGATTCTATTTTACAATTGGCAAGACAAGCATCTAAATATAGTAACAACCACACCACTGCTTACATTAGATGGTACTACATTCCTGACGACTAACTATTGTCAAAACACATTGCTATGAACTTCTACCGATTGTCAACAAGAACAATGTAATATAACTAGAACATTGTTTTAAAATATATTACACTGCCATATAACAATACAGCATATATTTGGTGAAGGGAAACTGTACTGAGTAGAATATCTGCGCAACACTAGCATCATTCAGACGTTGACATTTTATATAATAAATAGGAATAATGTTCTATTTATTTAAACTGACATAGAAATCAGGATTTTGAATATAACTATGAAACTAGTGAAAATATGTGTAGGCTAAAATAGGCATAATGTCGTAACTGCTTTCGGACGTCAAGTGCGACCCTACTACAGTTACTAAAAGTATTGCCGTTCCTGGTCATCATGGTCAATTACGCCATGACTTTGCAGCTCGCCTTGTCCGTTGCGGCTCCGTCAAGGAGTGATTGGTCTAACGACGCTTATTCCAAGTTGTCTCTATCAGCATTCATACTCGCATAATAAAGAAACGCAACACCAGCCTTATACTCACATAGTTTTACTTACTCTCAGCCCATCTATCAATACAGGACAGGATCAGACCGGCCAGACTCGTCACTAAATTGGGAAACGGGATTCGACTCGATCGATTGCAAACCGCGCTCTCCTCTCCTAATGTTGAAGGTATCATTTTATAGTGTTCGAGCCTGGTCTGTCTTTGTCACATGTCACAATACCTCATTTTGATTCGTTAAAAGTTAGATCTGACCATGAACTCATGTTCAAGCCTACGTGCAAGATTGCTCATCTCTCTTTTGATTTTGTGACTCACTTCGGATGCTACAAATAAAATATATCTTGCATCTCTGCTTGTTTCATTAACTAATGGACGATACCCTGGAACCAATCCAATGATAAATATGAAATGTCAAGAATACACTTGTGATAAATGTGAAATGTCTTTTATCTATTTATTCCTTTCGAACAAAAAGTTCTCTGTCACAAACTATATCTAATGCAACTCCTCATTGCAGCTATAACGGTTTTATTTGTTACCATTTTCTAATGTTTTTGAGATGCATTTTAACCTTATAACAATAAGCGATATTCTAGCATGAAACTGAAGAATTATTGATTCTGAATGGTCGAAATAGCAATAAAATCAGGTATCTAATTCCGTTGGATACCTCTTACTTAACAAGCCATTTCACACACAGCGTGTGTGAATACATCCATCTTTCAATAGCCTGGTACATCGATGCGTTACAAAACGTTTGTGAATACATCCATCTTTCAATAGCCTGGTACATCTATGCGTTACAAAACGTGTGTGAATACATCCATCTTTCAATAGCCTGGTACATCTATGCGTTAACAATGGTTAACGTAAGCCCATTTCATCTGTATACATTCCATATCGGAACATTATCAAATCTTTAATGCTATGGCACCCTTAACAAGCACAACGTAGCTCAGCAAACATGATGAAATTTATTTCAGAATATATGCTTCAGTAAATCATACACTAACCACTGTGACACAAAAGTAAGCAGCTTCAACACACAAGATCGACACGTCTTCAGTTAAAAAACGGCCATATTTGGTAATTCTTTTTAGGTTTCGTTGTGCCAGCAGGCTAATTTCCACATGTAAATCATAATAATGTGGAACGTACCAGGGATCGCGACTGTCCACTAGATTCATGCAGTGTGTTCACATGTGGTATCATTAATCAAGATATTTGTTTGTAGAGTTCATATAGAAATCAGCATTGTGAAAATCAATGAATCGAATTTGCACTAGAGTAATGCCCAAGCATTCAACATGCGATTTAAACGCACTAAATATGAATCCTTCAATGAAACGAAAATTAAAGTTGAAATATATCATTCTCATTCTGATTTTACGAATACATAAACTATGTTTTGACCTAGCCATAAATATCCGACACTAGCAGATGTATTTGCAAAATGTTATGTCTCGAAATGTCTAAATGCAAGAGATTAAATGTGTTATTGAAACAAATATAGTTTACATCAATATTTTAGGGGGGATGGTGATGTCTTTTCTGCAGAATTTATGCAGAATTATATAGTTTTCGGCGCAAAAGTTTGGTAATTTTACCGCAGACTTGTAATACTTTTGCTGCAGAATTCGTCTGGAACAGGACAACTGTGATACATAGAGTGATGTTTCCTTAGGGTTAATTAATTAACCTGTTGATGCAGGTGCGACACCGTTAAACATGATGCGAAGTCCATTTCTGTCTCCAGTTTCCCTTTCGCTGGCATATTGCTGAAAGTGGAGTAAAGCTAAACGTGGGTTGTCGCTTCATTTAGATGCGACTGTATGTCGTTATCGGTGACATAGGCGATAGACCATGCACCCTGCGGCATCGACATTTAACTTCCTGTAGAGAGTGACAAGGCAGCATATCCATTTACACTCCCATAAACAGATTCAACAAATCTCAGTAACTCATAAGTATAACGTCCTTAGTATTAGGAATTATGTCAAATCCGATTATATCCTTCAGTTCAGTTAAGCTCTGAGAGTATTACAGTCCCGCAGTAACTCGGGGAGTGGAGGTCAGTGTAATCCCTGGCCGTATCCAATCAGTCCATGACCTGCTGCCGAGTCTTGAGCAGTTCAGCTGGGTATTACATAGGTTGGAGAACGCCACACGTACAACTAACACAGGTAAAATTTCATTTTACTTGTTTCAATATCCACCGTACCGTTGTATGTAAAGTGATAACATGTGCTTAACACTGCGTCATCAACAAGACACAGCACACTGTACTTTTTGTATTTGGGTCTTGGTTTGTGACAACGGCATTCCTACCACATTAAGTTGTTTTTAGTATTTAGGCATGTGATAATCAAACAGCAATGTCGTCATAAGGGCTCGAATTTCAGTCGATGTGTTTGGGGATGGACTTGAGCACAAAAAATACATATTCTGATTTCGAGTTCATTTGGCGTTGGGTTTTTTTTTCAGTATAAAAGGACGGCTTTAGTCCGATCACAGTCGTAGCCAACGGTCGTTTTGTGAAACGGGGATCAGTGCTACAAGGCAGGGGGTATAGACGTAGACATTGCATGTGTGCAATCTTCCAGCTAACACTGATACAACATAAAGTGTACAGTCATGTTTTTCCCTAAAAATGAAAGTGGGTTTTCAGAAATACCGCTGGCCGAAGTCTAGTCCACTATAAAAAATAATATATATATATATATTATTCAAAAGAAAATAAGGATCACCTGATTCTTTCATATTACAATAGTTAATCTCTCATCCCATGTTGTCGGTTCGACTCGATTCGTCCCGATGACAATCCGTTGTCTGCCAGCACTGTCCCGGAACTTGTGGGTTTTACTGAAGTAATAAACGTCCAGGATATGCATAACCCCCCAAAAATGTTCCCACATTGGGCAGACACGCCTTGGTAATCTAAAATAATAGTTTTAATTCATTTCAACGGATTGACTCTGTTCTGTCACATGCTATAATTGACACGGGCGGTCGGGTAGCCTAGTGGTTAAAGCGTTCGCTCGTCACGCCTAAGACCCGGGTTCGATTCCCCGTATGGGTATAATGTGTGTAGCCCATTTCTGGTGTACCCCGCCGTGATATTGCTGAGATATTGCTAAAAGCGGCGTGAAACTATTCTCACTCACTCGCTGTAATTGACAGATAAAATAGTTTCTGTTTCTCGGATACCATTGCACGGGAAAGCGGGCATAAAATCATAATTTGAACAGTAACTGTGATATGCGTGGGCTTTTCCCCAACATTTCACATGACCCCTGTCTACCTCCACCAGGACACGCTATTAAAAAAGCGTTAACCTTACTGCGCCAACCAACAGCGGAACCAGTTTACTGATTCCTCTGAGAACTCGAATGGACGAGAAGGATGTTACGCCGCTATGTAGGAATTGTCTACTCGTACAATGGCTTTACATGTTGTACCACATCTGTAGATAATCGAACCAGGGTCTTCGTCCTGAGAGGCGAATGCTTTACCCACAGGGCCAACCCCTTGTAAATATTGGAGTCTAATATGATTCATCTCACAAATCTTGTAGCGGAGTGGAGGTTTCAGTAAAAGACGTAAAAGTGAGTGAGTATGGTTTTACGCCGCTTTCAGCAATATTCCAGCAATATCACGGCGGGGGACACCAGAAATGGGCTTCACACATTGTACCCATGTCGGGCATCGAACCCGGGTCTTCAGCGTGACGAGCGAACGCTTTGACCACTAAGCTACCAGACCGCCCCCGTAATGTTTAAGTTACACACGACTTTGTTCCACCATTATGATAATAGTTGTGAGGTATGATTATGTTGCAACTACATCTCATCCTAGGAACAACGAGATGAGTGTTTTACGGCCATTAAAACACGGCGGCTCTCAAGCATTGGCCACGCAATTTCGCCTGGCCTTGCCTCAAAAGAAGACGATGAGTCAAATTGTACACCGAGCGAGGAATGTTATCTTGGAGGAAGAACTTAATGATGAGGAGGAAGAGCCACCCGCGCTTCCAAAGCGTGTTTTCAAAATGAGGTTATCTCAATTCGATTGTGATTATATGGATGAGTACGACTTCGATAAAGGTATGTAACTCTTCCTCATCCGATATTCTAAACTAGGCCCACGGGAAGCCGACATTTTCTCTTAAACGGTTATCTGTAATAGCTACTGGTCAAAACTACGCCTATTTTCCGACTGTAATGATTCGTATCCACAATCATAGGTTGCTAGGACATGCAACGCTGCACGGCAAATTGCAGCGCTATGACGGATGAGGCACCCGTGGCCCACCTCTTGCTGAAACAACATGCGGTCTTTTTGTTTGTTGTTTGACGCCGAACTCAACAATATTCCAGCTATATGACGGCGGTCTGTAAATTATCGAGTCTGGACCAGACAATCCAGTGATTGACATCATGAGAATCGATTTACGCAAATGTGATACAATGACATCCATCAACCAAGTCAGCGAACCGGACCACCCGATCCCGTTAGTCGCCTCTTACGACAAACATAATCGCCTTTTACGGCAAGCATGGGATGCTAAAGACATATTCTACCCCGGATCTAACAATATAGTACATTACAATAAACACATGATGTCAAATAAAAGATACATTAACGTTGTAAATAGAACACTTTCCAAATGACTTGCTTGTCATTTTAGTACCCCAAAACTACTTTCCCATTCAGAAGTCATATCGCATTCGAAGCCAGCCGGGTTATGAAATGTAGTCGCCCAATCTATTATGATAAATATCCTGGTTCCATTTCAGACGACCAATAAAATACATGTCAAAACAAATAACAGGCATGTGCGAGAGACGTTCAGGACTATGTTAATGATAAGAGGGGAGGAAATGGGGACGTCATCCCCGAAACGATGGTGACGAATGGGTCCAGTGTATTTAGCATTATAGTCATGATGGCTGAATATTTTAAAACTCATTGAGTAATAGTAAAAACCAAACGTAAACGTCAAACGTCTTGATCTTCTCCCGAAACAGTATCCATTATTTATTTATTTAATTATTTAAAAAAAGTATATATTAATTTATTTTATTCTATTTTATTTATTTATTTATTTTATTATTTTTTTTTTTATTATTTTTTATTTATTTATTTATTTTTTTTATTTATTTATTTTTTTTTTTTGGGGGGGGGGGGGGGGGGGGGGGGTGAGGGGGGCGTAAAAGGCAAAATAGAAATAGAAAGGTGAAAAAATATGAACGGATCACTGAAAATCAGTGTTGACACCAGGTGTTCACGAAGAGGGTAAGTATGTTCTGTCGTACCGCCCACTTACACAATTTTCATAAACGTTATATTCCAGACGACGATTCTGACAGTGAAGCCATTCCTGAGGGAATAGAGGACGAATCGCAGAATGCCTACATGACTGCCTGCAGAGACTTGGGGATAATTTCAAACAAAAACATCATGGACAGTTTACTCACCAGCACAATGACACTAACAAACCAAAGGCTCACAACAAAAGACATTCGTGCATTTTCCATAGCTCTTCTTGTAAGTCTTCAATTTCATTACAAATAATGGTTACCAAGAAATCAATATGTGACATGTTACCTGCCTTGAATATTGTAAAGGTAGGTTTGGTTGCAGTGTTGATGCATCGATCATAGTTGTGCAAGGATCGACATACAATCTGTCATCGTCGAGACAGTGACAGTGACATACAGTAAACGGATATAACGAACTCAAAGGGACTACTAATTTTAGTTCGTTATAACCGTAGTTCGTTATAAGCATATATACAGCATAACAACAGCAAATGGTCGGGACCAAAATAGTAAGTTCGTTATATCCGTCAGTTCGTTATATGCGTCAGTTCGTTATAACCGTAGTTTACTGTAATTCCAATTAAATTCTAACAATGATTACTTACAGAAAAATAGTTCCATTGACGTTTTGACCTTGGATTCTAACAGTCTCCAACCAAAGGGCATTGAAACCATTTCACAAATACTGCCACACAAACGAGAGATAACGGAGTTGGTAAGTATTGGCCCATGGGGAGTATCGTGTTGTTATGGTGATACAAGGGGTCAATAAGAAGTGTTAAACATAGCGTATTGTCGCCATATTGTGATATAGTATATATTCTGGTGAATCGTTAACTTTTCTTTAAACTGTCTGACAGATGTGTTGAAATCCTAAATCACATAAAGATACTCGAAATTAAGGTGTCACCAATGATGTTTTTTCAACTTTGTAAAGGAATTTCACATTACTGTACATGAACAGTCGAAGTTAACAACATTGACGACAGGGTGCAGGAACACCTGGATGTATAAACGACATGTTTGTATGTCAGGCTAAAGTTTAATATCAATGACATGTTTCAGAGCATTACCAACAACTCGTTAGGTTCTCTTGGAGCTAAGGAACTGTGTGAGGTTCTTGTAGGAAGCAGTACTATTAAAAAGGTGGACTTTTCAGGTTAGTTTGTGTTCTTGTTTATTTTACATATTTAATTTGAAATAGGCAGTGTTCCATGTCTAGTGTGGTTGGGATGAACCCAAGTTAGAGAGAAATATGTATTGCTACGCAATCCCCGCCTTTGTGATTCAGAAATGCATATCTTTAAGTGAGTGAGTGTTCTGTGGCTCAAGGTCATTTCAAACAGTTTTACAGTTATATCAAAGACAACACAGTCCTTAGATGTTTATCCATTTGGGGAAAGAAGTATCACTGACAAACAAGAATCATTATCCATCTGGGTGTGATACTGACGCCAAACGGGTCCTGCTAGGTGACAGATACATTCTGCATAGGAGGCCCTGCGCCTTATATTACCAGGTCACACGCGTCACTCTAGGCTTGAAATGGAGTGAGTGAGTGAGTTGGGTTTAACGCCGCTGTTAACAGTATTCCAGTTATATCGCGGCGTGTCAGCTTAATGTGGGAGGAAAGCCCCAAGTGATGCAGGTCTCAGACGTTTACTACTTCGGTGAAACCCACGAGCACGGGTATGGTGCTGACAAACCTAGAAACATAATCGGGGCGAACCGGGATTCGAACCCACAATCATAGGTTTCTGGCGTGCCCAAGAGACGCAACTCTGCACAGCGAATCGCGGCGCCTTAGACGACTGGGCTACCCGTGCCCCCCGCTTGAAAAGGAACACATCATTCAAACATATTATCCCAGTGGTATGTTGCTGTATCTTGTTCGACCTTGTATCGTTCAGTAATAAACTGAGATTTTGTAACCCCAAGGAATCAACTACAGCTGTGACAATTCACATATAGAGATTATAAGCCGAGTGTGTTCGTTTCGTAACTATCATAGGTTAGGAATGGCGGTTGTATTAAGCGAGCCTTTGGCGAGTATGACACCTTGTTGTTACAATATAGGATATTTACGTTGCAGAAACACACGATGTTATTAATCTGTATATCATACTGATAATGCCATTCTTAAAATAAACGATGTGCAAGAAACCACGTATGAATATCTATGTCTGAGTGAGCTGCCCCGTTTATATAGTGTCATTGGATTTGCAGCTATTGTTGTCTTCAGAAACACCCACGCATCCAGCAACCCCATCTTAACTTAGAAATGTTAGAATAATAGCCAATAACTGAATGATCAATCAGATAAGGGCTTAAAGTAGCTCCTGCTAGGTGATCTCATTTGCATATTTATCAGATCGTCATACCAAGTTTATCAGATTGGCTTATGGCATCTATAGACCAGCAATTATATGATAAAGTAACTCAAAATCAATTGTTCTCTTTGTTCCAGGAAATGGTTTTACCGAAAAAGATGCTGAATATTTCAAAGAGGTACTGGAAGAAAATAATGTGATAAAAGAGATGAACTTGAGTCATAACGAGATGAGAGAGAAGGGTGGATCAGTGCTAGCTGAAGGCATAGGTACGATGTCACAATGAAATGATCTTTTTTACGTTGCATCCCGCGCAAAATATCTTTATATTACCAGAGGATCATTATCTGAGATTATTATTGTCATATCCAGTATTGCGAAAAATTAAATTTCACTGGATTTAGTGACGGGATTAAGAGCAATTCCAAACCTATTTGTTGTGTTTTGTAGGGTTAAGTAAAAATGATAAAATCATCTTCATATTCTCATCTCAGACTTTAAGGCTTTCAAATAGTTTCACGGTCGTACAGGTACATGGCCACAACGAAATACTGGAATAAAGGAATTTAATTTTACATTCAATTACTACTTGTATAATTATTCATAGCGTCTATCATAATATAAATTGATCAACAAATATGAACACACAATCACCGTTAAGTTGATATGTGTAATATTGAATAATATATAATTATTTAAAGCAATTGTCCTGTCGATATTTACATACAATTGAAATATAGAAATGTATTTATTATTGTGTTTTACTTTCATTCAAGGCCTCAGAAAAGCTTTCAAAACGTTTAATGTAGACATGTGGAGGACATTTCAAAATGAGGCATCAGTGACCAAAAAGACGTCCAATGCAACTTTCTTTACTTGTACCATGTGTTCCCGTTGTGTTGCCTTTGCATGTGTTTGTGATGGCTGCCACAGTTGGGACAGGGCATGCTCACCTTTTCGCGAACACCTGGTATCGTCACCATTTGATAGTAATTGATAAACACATGCTCATGATATTATCGGAATCGATCACTCGACTGCTGGCAGAGATAACCATAAGCTTTTGATAGAGATTTTTTATAATGATGGAAAGGGTTTTGTCGCCTTTATATTAAGGTTTCTATGCAATATTAATTGACATGCATTATTGAAAACAGGAAAGTCGTAGCGCTTTGAAATATTTAAAGAATTGAAATATTTCTCCTGCAGTGAAGAACGACTGCCTTCGGGTGTTAGACCTCAGCTGGAATCATCTCCGGTTAGCAGGCGCTGCAGCCATCGGGGAGAGCCTACAGGTAGGATCCATGATGGCTTATACACAGTCGTCACCAATAGGTTCACATAGTTCTGTAAAGATAAGCTCACGACCTTCACCACCTGACACCCATTGGTTCGAATATATACTCAACACAACTATAGAAAGGACAATGACATCCGTTGGTTCGAATATATACTCAACACAACTATAGAAAGGACAATGACACCCGTTGGTTCGAATATATACTCAACACAACTATAGAAAGGACAATGACACCCGTTGGTTCGAATATATACTCAACACAACTATAGAAAGGACACTGACACCCGTTGGTTCGAATATATACTCAACACAACTATAGAAAGGACACTGACACCCGTTGGTTCGAATATATACTCAACACAACTATAGAAAGGATAATGACACCCGTTGGTTCGAATATATACTCAACACAACTATAGAAAGGACACTGACACCCGTTGGTTCGAATATATACTCAACACAACTATAGAAAGGATAATGACACCCGTTGGTTCGAATATATACTCAACACAACTAAAGAAAGGACAATGACACCCGTTGGTTCGAATATATACTCAACACAACTATAGAAAGGACAATGACACCTGTTGGTTCAAATATATACTCAACACAACTATAGAAAGGACAATGACACCCGTTGGTTCGAATATATACTCAACACAACTATAGAAAGGACACCTCTGCAATATCCAGAACCACCGCAACGATAATATATATTATTTGAAAAAATATATTTTGCAGTCCAATATTGTATAGGTGACTGACTCTACAATATTCTGAGTATACATGAAGTTATTTCATGACGTACACCACTTTATGAGAAAACTTTCATAAATCACACTGGGGCATGATGGAAATTGATACATGACGATTGGTAGCAATTAATACCTGGCGCCAGTATATTACACCTGCATGACGGAAATAAACAACTGATCAATAGACAGCTACATAAAATTTTCTTCTTCAAACCCATTTACGGTAATTTTATTGAGGATCCAATATTCTGAGATCATTGACAGGTCAAACGGATTTGGTAAATATAAAAGTTAAAAGTTTGTTTTGGTTTTGTTCTTTTTATTCTAGACCAACAATACACTTGAGGAAATATATCTCGGTTGGAATGGATTCAATGTGAGAGGATGTTTGGCCCTCGGAAAAGCCTTGGAAACAAACAGTAACCTACGGGTATTAGATTTAACTTGTAACAGGATCTGCGAACTCAGTGTGTCGCAGCTTCTCAAAGGGCTGATCGCAAACACAACACTGGAGGTGCTCAAGGTAAGGCAGTGGCCAATTAGCCATTTTACAGGGTTTTTTCCGTTTTAAAGTACATGTACGTGTTGTATGTCTCATTGTGAGATTAAAAAAAGAGGACCATTACATTTGTTATTAATTCAAACAAATTGTTTCACAAAAATCTAGACGATACATGACTAACTGTACCTTCATCTTCAAGAAATTAAGTTTATTTGTTGTTTAACGCCGCAATCAGCAATACTCCAGCTTTATGACGGCGGTCTGGAAATAACCAAGTCTGGACCAGACAATCCAGTGATTGACATTATGAGCATTGATCCACGCAATTGGGATACGATTACATGCATCAACCATGTCAGTGAGCCTGACCACTCGATCCCGTTAGTCGCCTCCTACGACAAACATAGTCGCCTTTTACGGCAAGCATGGAGACCTATTCTACCCCGGATCTCCACGGGTCAACTGATGAAGGAGTAAGCATATACTCCGAAACGTTGTGTTCTTCATAATAAGGAAGCTGACATCCATAAATTCTCTTCCTTATGTGTATCACTACTAAATGCCTTTCAAAGACTTGATTTATTATTAATTATGCCATCAATGTTTATTGTTACACTAAATCTCCCCAGCTTCCACTCAATGGCATCTACCCCTCTGGAGCTCTCACCCTTCTTAAAGTGTTGGAGAAATACAAAACTATAACTGTGAGCCATGTAGATCTTGGGGTAAGTATATTTATAGGATATTAAAACAGCTTCCATTTCCATGTTTTTGTCCCGAGTGGAATAGGTTTTAGGAAAGTGGAAGAAGAAATGTTATTTCACGAGAAATAATCGTGATGTGAAATGACAACGAATTTTGTATCCTTTGTCGTACCATCATGATGATTTTTAATGAGATATCTACACAATTGCCTAGAATACGTACATGTAAATGAATGTAAACATCGAGCCGCATCCCTTCCCGCATGTGTACCATAATGTTCCTACGCACTAAATATAGATCGCTAGAGACCTGCGAATTATTTGGGAAATCAAAGCTACGGGCAAAGCTACAGGCAAACAAAATAGTCGTCTTTCCGAGCTTTTTGTGACATATACTTATCTTACATATATGGGGCGGTCGGGTAGCCTGGTGGTTAAAGCGTTCGCTCATCCTTTTTACCCCTTGACAAAGCAAAATACTGACAGATGTTCATTTATGGCGTTTGTTATTCTTAAATGTTCTTTTTTAAATTTTATTGTAAATGTCTCACTTAACCGTTCGTTCGCAAAGCGCCATTTTTGTTACTCGACCAGCGTGTATTCTTTAAAAATTCGCTTCCAAAAGTAGTCTCGAAGTTTTCAATAGTCTTTGTTAAAATTGATTTTGTATATAATTATATCCATATTATGATACAGAATTTTCGCGACCCTAAATATTTTTGGTTACTTTTGTTTATATATTTTTGTTTTTTTAAACACGAGACTACTTTTTTAGTCGCAAATACAGGAGGTGGTGACCCGTGTTAGGTAGGGGGGAATTTACGTTTCAATGTTTTGGATTTGTAATTAAATAATTTAAACACAAAACTATATAATGCATAGGATACTCCATGGGTCTCGAGAAATATCATGTTTCTCTCACCTCGTGACGGGGCAAAGGAGATATATCACTCGTCACATGAAATATCCTCTATATCCTGGATGTTTATTGCCGTCTTAGTCATCATGACATGACGACTGTCATAGCTGTAGATTAGCCAGTGGCGGCCTCAGACAAGCACATATGACAGCATGTCATAAACATTCAAATGTTGAGTTGCGAAGGTCAGGCAACCTACCTGACTGCATTTCATACATGAAAGACCATACTATTCAGTTAGGATTACAACCTCATCAGTGTCAGTAACATACAACGAATGAATGAATGAATGAGTTGCGTTTAATGCCTCTTTTAACAGTATTCCAGTTATATCGCGGCGTGACAGCTTAATGTGGGAGGAAAGCCCGAAGTGATGCAGGTCTCAGACGTTTACCACTTCGGTGAAACCCATGAGCACGGGTATGGTGCTGACAAACCTAGAAACATAATCAGGGCGAACCGGGTTTGGAACCCACAATCATAGGTTTCTGGCGTGCCCAAGGGACGCAACTCTGCACAGCGAATTGCGGCGCATTAGACGACTGGGCCACCCGTGCCCCCAATGAATGAATGAATGAATGAATGAAAAGCAGTATATAAAGGTCAAAGTTCGCACACCAGCCAATCAAATTCGATGCACGTGTTATTTGTTGGACTATCACTTGATTGTCTTGTAGTTATTCACTGGCGATGACGTCTTATATTTTATGACATACGTGTTTGACGGCGGTTTGTTACGTTACCTGTTTTACGTTGTACCGCGTGCAGGATAATGAAAGTGATAATGACTGTGTAATGCTATCATAACTATTATAATTCATGCAGACCCAGAGCGTCACAGAAGAGTTCATTCAACTGAAAACCACCCTGGAGGCCACGCGGAAGTTGAAGGTTCTCCACGGCCCTGTCTTGAGGCAGGAACTGAAGTTCTCCGCCATCCAGGAAGAACTGGATGAACTTGTTGAGAAGAGCATTGATGACCTCATGAAGGAACATCCCATGACGGTCCTCTTTGAGTTCGCGAGGCAGCAGAACTTTCGAATTCTTGACATGTTCACGACTTTAGATTCCGATAAAAGTGGAACTCTGACTAGGCAAGAGTTTGAAGAAGGGTTTATAGTAAGGCATTACCTATCGCTTTCCTTGTCTGTTACAAAACGATTTGCCCACTCGTCTAAGGCGCTGCGATTCGCTGTGCAGAGTTGCGCCCCTTGGGCACGCCAGAAACCTGTGATTGTGAGTTCAAATCCCGGTTCGCCGCGATTATGTTTCTAGGTTTGTCAGCACCATACCCGTGCTCATGGGTTTTACCGAAGTGGTAAACGTCTGAGACCTGCATCACTTCGGGCTTTCCTCCCACATAAAGCTGTCACGACGTGATATAACTAGAATACTGAAAAAAGCGGCGTTAAATCCAACTCAATCACTCACTCACTCACTAGAAAACGATTTAGATGCATCATTATATATGCGTGTTTGGTGGCCCAGTGGTCTAAGGATCCGTAGTTTGTACAAACTAGAATCGAAAGTGAATCAGTGAGTGAGTCTGGCTAAACGCCCCTTTGGACATTATTTATGTCAATTCATGGCGCGTCAGCATGCTGTCAGGGGAAAGTCAGACATGATGCAGATCTCAGAAGTTTACCACTTTGATGAAACCAGTGAGCACGGGTTTTGTCCTGTCAAACGTACAAACACAATCAGGGCAAATCCGGGATTCGAACCCACGATCTTCGCTTTGTCGCATGCGGGACGCAACTCTGCACATGGAATTGTGTTGTCGTCGACGATTGGGCGACCCACTGATAACGGCTTTTCATACCATAAAGACAAGGATTGTCTTGCATTGTATGAAACAGTTATTGGTCTGTTTCTATCAGGACGGCTTGACACTTCTGTAATATTTTCTAACAGCGGTGCAACAACGGCCTTTTATTCGCTCACAAGTGATATGTGTGCGGGTGTAATCAAGCACAGTTGTTTCTTTACTCGTTATCATGGTTACTGTATCCTGAATTGCCTGTTTCCCCTTCAGAAAGTCAACATCCCCATCCCAAATGCAGCGCTGCACCTTCTCCTAAATAAAATGGACCTCAACAACGACGGAGTTGTGGACTACGGGTAAGTAGCTGGTTGTGTAGGAGGTGAGGGTTTACCGTCGCGTTTAAGATTGCGCTTAAAAGTCTAGTATAGCTACGTGCATGCACGTGTGGGTAGGTGGATGGGGGGTGGGGGAGGGGAGGGGGGTGGGGGCGTGTGTGTTTGACTGCTTGTACCTGTCCAGACTTATGCCGATTTTTTTGGTGCTAGCCCACTGAGATATTCCGAGCTGATCAGTGTTTGTTTTAGCCCCTTGATGCCGAATGACAGGCAGGGTAACAAGAAGTACCATCTTTCAACGTCTTTTGGTATGACGCGACCGGGGATCAAACCCCGACCTTTTTCGCGCTCCGGGGAGACGCTATATCCACCAGACCACGGAGGCGGTCTGTTTGTGTAGGTTGTTTGTTTGTAGGTTGTTTGTTTGTAGGTTGTTTAACGCTGCATTCAGCAAACTTCAAGCTATATGACGGGGGTCTGTAAATAATCCAGTCTGGACCAGACAATCCACTGTTAGACACCATGAGCATCGATCCAGTTGAGATACGATGACATGCATCAACCAAGACAGCAAGTCTGACCATCCGATCCCGTTATTCGCCTCTTACGACAAGTATAGTCGCTTTTTTTGGCAAGCATAGACTGTTTCAGAATGCATAAATCTGAAATATTGCCGATGCGAAGTTTAACACTCAGTCGTTTATTCACCCAGGACAGTGGGGTGGTCTAAGGCGCATTCACTGTGCTGAGTTACAATGTATTACCTTGCGAATTGTATGTTATAATACACTAATAGTGCGGATCTTTGCTCATGCGATCGGCCACGTGCTTGTCAGGTCCACACAGCGTTATTCACAAGTCGTGCTTACATAGCTGCAATATTGCTGAGAGTAAACAACACCCACAACTCACACTGTTAACACACGCCGCAATATGCATCGTCACCATGCCAACATGGAACTAAGTGAGTGAGTGAGTTAAAATGTTACATCGCATCGGCAATTTTGCAGTCATAACGCGATGAGAACAAGGTAATTACTATAATTTAACATGGAACTAAGACAGATACTTGTCAGGTATATAATTATCAGAACACTGGCACACGAAAAGTATTCTAGAAGACGTAAACACGTAAGACCAATAATGAAACGATGACAGGATTATGTGGTCCTGTTCCTGTACGAAATGGTAAACCATGTAAATTCAGTTAAAAGTCGGATATCTGTGTTTAAGAATCTTATTCTTATGACCGATTCAAATAAATACCTACGCTACTTCCGGTTACACCAATGATGGTTTAAAACTCCAATGAATTTTGTCACTGCGTGAGTGAGTGAGTGAGTGAGTGAGTGAGTGAGGTTTTACATTATCATTTTCCATTTCAGCGAACTCGTGTTTGGTCACCGAGAGTACAAGAGAAAGGTACGAGAAGCAATAGCCGAAGAAGATTTTACATCTACTGAAATTGGAAGAATTTCGACCAAAATCAAAGATTTAATGAAGAAAAAGTTCTTAATGCGAACTTTCTAAAGAGGCCTTGAAGACATCTAAAACACCGTACAAGTTAATTGAACTTTCATCGGAGAAAACTGAAGAGGTCTACGATTTGTTTGTCTCATTGTTGTTTAACACCGCACTCAGCAATATTCCAGCTATATGACGTTTGTCGCCTTGCGACAAGCATAGTCGCCTTTTACGGCAAGCATGGGTTGCTAAAGGCCTATTCTCACCCGCCGGATCTTCACGGGTCGAAGAGGTCTATGAAACAACCAGTGAAATGTGTGTTTTATGTGGATCAATGGTAATGTAAGTAACACATGCTAAGACATATAAGTATAATACTTACCTTCATCATCTAAAACAGTCATCCGCAGGATCCTTCACTTGCTGAAATTGCATCACAAATGCTTTGCAGACCATTGTGCTGTTATCATTACGTGACGTCACAGTCAAATGACATCACAAATCTCTCTGCCACAGAAGCTGGTTAGGTGAATTTTCTACAGCCAAGACACTGATTATTACTGTTTACAAACTGAAAAGGTTGGAAGAATAATTTTGGATGATAGAATCCCACCTTTGTGTCTTTTATCAACTACATCAACACTATCAACAAAATTTAAAACTCCTCGACAAGCCTCCGACTCGCGTTGATATGTTTGACAATCGTGTGAGGTTCTCTTTGTATACAGAATTAGAGAAAGTGAAAGCCGTACGTTAAAGCGTCATCCTCCTCATGATACTAGCAGACATGAAGATGGAGATAAAAATCAGCAAAAGCGCTAACGCGTCACTGGATTTTCTGGTCCATCGATCACTTGATTGTCTGGTTTGTTTACAGGCCGCCGTCGCATTACTGCTGGGCGGCATCAGGCTACACACATTTATGTTTTTCTGCTGCTTGTGCGAGGGCGCGTGATGCCGGTAGAGATGGGTATGCTAACACTTATCGCAAACACCTCGTGTCATCAACTATTTTCTGTTATCATTCATATAATTTACACTGCAGGTTTGCCTTTGACACCCAATGGAATTCGTTTCGTCGAATAATCGAGACTGGTTACTCTCTGGCGTAGATGTTTAACATTTACAAATTATCTGGATGTTCGAGAAACAGATACATGTTTATTTTTAAAAAAGAGATCAGACATTGTTTATCATTGTGACAACTGTTGTTTTGCTTTTTCTGCTTGTCATAAATCAACAGTTTTCTCTGCGAAAGCCATGTTGTCAGTCTCACCTGCCGGGCTCGAATCGATAGACATGTGGCAGGTCTTTGATGTAACGGTCGTCCGTGCTGCACGTGCAAACCATGAACATGTCACGTGCGGTGCTGAGTGGTGATAACAATTTGACTCACATACCTTCCCTGCATGTTCACACAGAATATTTCTAAGGGTGTGCGCGACGGAACCCGCAAGGTAACTGCCTCTCGACATATCTCGTGACACGCTCGTTAATAAAGTCAACAGCAAATGCCTATTTTATGAACGCTTCAAAAAATATTATCGCAACACTTCAGATGCTGTTTTTCACACTTGAGTGAGTGAGTGAGTGAGTGATTATGGGTTTTGGCTGCTTTTAGCAATATTCCAGCAATATCACGGCGGGGGACACCAGAAATGGGCTTCACACATTGTACCCATGTCGGGAATCGAACCCTGGTCTTCGGCGTGGCGAGCGAACGCTTTAACCACTAGGCTACCCGACCGCGCCGCTCCGGCAATATCAGAGCAGGGAATACCACCAATGGGCTTCACCTATTGTACCCATGGTGGGAATCTATCCCTGGTCTACGGCATGACGAGCGAACACTTTAACCACTAGGCTACCCGACCGCTCCGGCAATATCAGAGCGGGGGACACCAGCAATGGGCTTTACCTATTGTACACACGTGGGGAATCAAACCCGGACCTTTGGCGTGACGAGCGGACAGTTAACCACAAGCCACCCCTCCGCCCCATTTTAGTGAGTGAGTGAGTGTGTTTTTACGCTGCTTTTAGCAATATCAGAGCGGGGGACATTAGCTCTGGGCTTTACCCACGTGGAGAATCAAACCCGGACCTTTGGCGTGACAAGCGTACGCTTTAACCACCAGACTACCCCCTGCCTCCGTTTACGCTTGATATAAGATCTAATTACAAAAGCACATCCCGTGGGTATTCCTTGTCATTAGCATGGACGCCGTTTTTAGTACTATTCCAGCAATGACATGGCGTCCGCGTGCGTGCGTGCGTGCGTGTGTGTGTGTTGGGTGGAGGATGGGGAGAATATTCCGACTTCGAATGTAACTCACATTCAACAATGAGTGAGTGAATGAGCGAATTATGCTTTTTCGCCGAGTTTAACAATATTCCACCAATATTACAGGGGTGGACACTAGGAATGGGCTTCACGTGTTGATCCCATGAGGCGATTCGAACCCGGGCTTTCGGCGTGACAAGCGATCGCTTTAACCGCCAGGCTACCCAACGGCCCCCTACACATCACTAGAGAGTCACTATGGTGCAATATTCCACAGTTCTTAACCCTTGACTCAACGCCTTCACAGGAGCAAAGTCTCACCCATAGTGCTTAACCCTTGACTCAACGCCTTCACAGGAGCAAAGTCTCACCCATAGTGCTTAACCCTTGACTCAACGCCTTCACAGGAGCAAAGTCTCACCCACAGTGCTTAACCCTTGACTCAACGCCTTCACAGGAGCAAAGTCTCACCCACAGTGCTTAACCCTTGACTCAACGCCTTCACAGGAGCAAAGTCTCACCCATAGTGGAGCCGACTCGTAACTGTCAAAAGAGCGGCCATGGGAACATACACGTGAAGTCTCAAAATACATAAATAGAAAGACTGTATTGACAAGGATAAATCAAATGATAGATTAAGGATTTATTAACTCTAAACAACATCTACCAAGCTCACGCATTCAGTAAAAAAACCAACTTCTTTGAGAGGTTGAACAATAATTCAAATTTGAACTCACACAGCCTGAGTGAGTGAGTGAGTATGGTTTTACGCCGCTTTTAGCAATATTCCAGCAATATCACGGCGGGGGACACCAGAAATGGGCTTCACACACCGTACCCATGTCTGGAATCGAACCCGGGTCTTCGGCGTGACGAGCGAACGCTTTAACCACTAGGCTACCCGACCGCCCCCACACAGCCTGAGTCTGTCTTAGAAGCGAATCTACACAAGATTGGTTGGTTGGTTGGTTGGTTGGCTGGTTGTTAAACACCGCACTCAGCAATATTCCAGCTATATGACGGCTATAAGGACTAGTGAACGAAACATGTTAGTTTCTACCGCTACTTCTCTAAAAATTTTGTATTTTCCACAAATGGCTTAAAGGTATCATTGGAAAGGTCACACATTTCGTTCAAAGATGTGCTCAGAATATTCTCATATCCATTGGTCTTTACAATGTGTTTAGCTGGTGTCAGAACAAGCTGGCCAATTGAAGTCTTGTTTATCGTTTATTTGTTGTTTAACGCCGTACTCACCAATATTCAAGCTGTATGGCGGCGGGTTGTAAATAATCGAGTCTGGACCAGACAATACAGTGATTAATGTCATGAGCATCAATCCACGCAATTGGGATCGATGACATGCATCAATGCAAGCAAGTCGAAGCCTGTCCACCCGATCCCGTTAGTCGCCTCGTACGACAAGCAGATTCGCCTTCACGGCAAGCATGGGTTGCTGAAGATCTATTCAACCCCGTATCTTCACGGGTCGCCAATTGAAGTAGTGAGTGAGTGAGTATTGTTTTACGCCGCTTTTAGCAATATTCCAGCAATATCACGGCGGGGGACACCCATGTCGGGAATCGAACTCGGGTCTTCGGCGTTACGAGCGAACGCTTTAACCACTAGGCTACCCGACCGCCCCTCCAATTGAAGTAATAACATTAAATGATTATTGCGTAAACACCCTATGCAGAAAAGTAAAGTAATCTTGTCTCAGCAAACACCTTGCCTCACAACATCAGATTTGACTAAATTTTATATTTGAAAATCTGTTTTGACACAACATATAGAATATAAACTGTTTGAAATGCACAAAAAACAGACAAAGGGGAATACATCACGGCAATGTGTGGGATTAATTCAGATTAACACATTCAAAATCTCTCTACGCGAAGCAGCCGACCACATAAACGAATCAAATTAAAGTTTTGATCACTTTGAGATTTAAGAAGTGATGTTTTATGATACCTGCAAATTGACAACTGAACTGGAGCAACACAAGCACAGTTGTAACAGGAACCTCGTCAACACGTGCAGGCAGGTATACATGAACATCGCCATGACTTCCTGGTGTGAGAAGCAATGTAACATTGATTGAAACAGTGTAGATACTTAAAATATCCATGACTTTATTCCGCGTTTAAGCAAGTAAAGACCTTCCATTCTCCAGTGAACCTTCATCCTTCTACATTGAGTGAGCTGAGCGTCAGTTTTACCTCGCTTTTAACAATATTCCAGTTACATCACGACAAGTCAGTTTAATGTGGGAGGAGCGCCCAAAGAGATGCAGGTCTTAGACGTTAACCACTTTGGTGAAACCCACGAGCACGGGTATGGTGCTGACAAAAGTAGAAGCATAATCTGGGCGACCGGGATTCGAACTCCCAATCATAGGTTCTTGTCGTGCTCAAGGAATTGAGGGGCCTTAGACTACAGGGCCACCCAATCCCCCTCATCATTCTTGTATAGGCATCATAGCGTTAGATGGTCCTGCTTTTTCCACCATCTTCTTCCTCTTCTTCTTTCTCTTCTGTGGTTTTCTACATAGCCTGTCAACGTCCATGAGAAGTATACACAACACGAAGGCTATTATGATCATAACGCCAGAATACCCAAGGCCCTTGGCCGATGGTCTGTCGTCTGGATAGCTCACATACCGATAGATATACTGGGACAGTGTACGCTTGTCCAGAGTGAGGTTGAACTCTCTGTCACTTGTTATGTTGAAGGATCCAGATTCCAGACTGCAGGACTTGTTGAGGCAGATGGCGGTGAGGTCGTACTGACAGACATCGCCAATGTAGTCGTTGTTGCAAACACACACGAAAGCGTCGATACCAGAGCTGATGCACCTTCCGCTGTTCTTGCAAGGCGAAGACAAACATGGGTCCATGTCTGGAGGAAAGAACAGACTCATTCATGTATTTCGCTGCCTTGAAATTATATCAATATGACTTCGGATTTAATGTTGTGTATTACAAACACTGTAACCCGTGTAAATCCGGGTTAGAATAGGTCCTCAGCAACCCAGGCTTGTCATATGAGGCAGCAATGCTTGTCGAAAGAGGTGACCAACTTAATCAGGTGGTCAGGCTCGCTGACTTGGTTCATGCATGTCATCGTATCCCAGTTGACTAGATCGATGCTCATGATGTCAATCTCTGGATGGTCTTGTCCAGACACTATTATTTTCAGACCTCCATGATATAGCTGGAATAGTGCTGAATGCGGAGTTAAACGACAAAACAAAACAAAACTGTGTTTTTTAAGAGAACATGTAAAAATATGTGTTGTAAATACTGTCCATACACGCAGTTTAAAACGTTGCTCATGGTTCTTCGTTGTCCTGAATTCATTTAAATGTATTCTTCGGACGATTATACTCGCCTATGTCACAGTTCATCCCCGTAAAGGTCGTCAGGCACTGGCAAGTATAGGAGTTTGTACCATCGATGCAGGTTCCATTGTTCTTGCATACTACTCCCTTGCAGTCATCTATATCTGTCGCAAAAAGAATTATCATAAAGATGTAAGCGCTTTCTGAATGGGATTCTAAAAAAATTGCATGAATGTCTTGAAAAAAACAGTTCATGAAACTTACCGATGACCCTCATCTTTAGGGAGGTTAAAATATCCAAGATGGCCGCGGAAACTTGAAACATTAAAATATATTTACTGCGCTAATTGTATTGAATATAATGTTTATGTTTACCTTCAACTAATTGGAATATGTTATTCGTAATGGAATAATTTCATTTTGAAATGTAATTTATCCAAATACTAGGCAAATCCCAAAATGAGTAAATATATACACTTATTATTATTATTATCATTCCTTTACGTCCTTCAGTGTAAACCGAGATGCTTATGGGTTTCCTGGCAAAGTCAATGTAAGTTAGAAACAGAAATAAGATGATTCATGCTGTACTACGTTGAAATTAAATCATAAGAAAATAATGAAAAACATAAAAGAGATAAAATATATGGTTCAAATTAAACAAAACCTGGTATGTGTCTGTGATACTTATACACGGCTATGCTCCAATGTGTTAAGTACTTAAAGAATACATGCTAAAACGAACTTGGCCATACGTAAAATGTTCCATTCTTTATTATTTTATGTTTTGCCAAGTTCGACTGGTCCATTTCAGTGGCTGCGTCAAAGATAGAACTAGACATCACAGCATTTAGACTAATTCTTGTGAGTATTTGTTTACTGTTTTCTTCTGTTTAGTATATGAAATGCTCTCTGACAAAGGAATACTTTAATGTGTGTTGCAAATAGAGGGTCAGATATTATTACTATTACTTTATAATAGTACGTCATAATGAGTACGTCCAGTAGCAAAGTCTGCCGTCAACTACTTTAAAGGACATTCAACTTCGCTCTCTGCTCTCACACGTAAAGAAAGGCTTGATGCTTTACGAACAGAGAATTTGCAGTTCAAGCTTATGTTGATTGCTACTGCTGATTGTACTGAACCAAGCACACCTCTCAAAATCTCTTCTGCTACCCTTCGAAGAAGACCTATTCTGAGGACATTACTTGCCTGACAGCATCTTTGGCACACTAACACACACATTTCCCATTACATTTTCCAGACCACGATTTGTAAGTACGGGCCTTCCCCCTTGTCTTAGAACAACATTGGATAATATATCTCGATTCACGCAACTCACACGAAGCGCATCTAAATGTGTTGATCACAGATGAATACAGTGATCTCTTGACTTGTCATTTGAGTCAGATGCTGAGCCTCCACTAAGCTTAGGAAGTAAAGGTTCCACCATTTTTCAGGCAGAATCGGATGTTGTATCCATTGAGTGAGTGGGTGAGTAGGTTTAACGCCCGCTTTAAACATTATTCCAGTTATATCAAGGCGTGTCAGTTTAATGTGGGATTAAAGCCCGAAGTGATGCAGGTCTCGGACGTTTACCACTTCGGTGAAACCCACGAGCATGGGTATGGTGCTGACAAACCTAGAAACATAATCGGGGTGAACCCACAATCATAGGTTTCTGGCGTTCTTAAGGGATGCAACTCTGCACAGCGAACCGCGGAGCCGTAGACGACTGGGTCACCCGAGCCCCCTTTGTATTGAATTCCGGGCATCGGTATGATGTAACTGCATCCTTTTGGAATAGAAAATTCTTCTCCTTAGCTTCAATTGACGTCATAACACATTAGCACAATACCCCAAAAATCAATGATGACTTCAGTCTTGCAAATTTAGGAATTGGTGGCTTCCGGGTCCATGATAGCCACCAATGAAAGGCTCTAAGGCTATGGTCACTGTCATAGCTTCCTTCTCAATTCGCATGATCTGGGTTTTCTTGTCAGATAATCCAACAGATCCATTGACATATCTTCCTGTCTGTGCTGCTTGGGAGTGCATGAACTACCTTCCATTTAGCAATGAAAAGTCACAATTGTCAACAACATCTTGAGTGAAACGTATATCACCATCCATGATGCCTGTTAATTCAGTCATGCTCACCAGCGTTGGCATCTGACCTCTTGAACCTGAACACTTCATCACGGGAACAAACTACTTGAAAGTTGTGCATTGACTGGACCATATCTTTAGAATGGCAACGCTTTAGTCCAGTGTGTTTCCAGTTACCACATAACCCATCTGTAGAGATGAAGGGGTGTTGTCAAGGTTTGATGATAAGGGGACAAAGAGTTCCATTCAGGTGTTGCTAGTAGCTCGCTCTGAGGCTGTTAATGTGAGTATTGTTCTGTTGCAATTTGTTTGGTCTCCTGCTTAATCTGCTGTGACATCTTGGTATCAACCGCAGACGAGAGGAATCTCTTGTTTGAAATGCAATGACATTGACATATCCTGGAGACGACACCATTAGGAGTTCTCCATTGAATGGCTGGGCTAGGTTCTGAATTATAGTTTTGGTAAAGGAAAAGTGGTCAAAGGCATAGAAAAATGGCCACTCTCTCTCACTGCTTGGAAATTCTACAGCAAATGTACCCGATATCACTTCCCATGAAGCTCAATTCATGACATTTCATGCTAAGACAAACCAAACTGCACATCTATCACAGAACCTCGCTTACACGACGGAGCTACCCAAACTGTCAGAGGCTGTTCTCCAATTCCCAAGCTATCAACTTAACCACCAATTGATGAAGCCTATTCGTAGATTGTGAAGTGGGTAAACCAGGGTTTGGAAGGCTGCTTTGGAGCCAGACGCAAATGAGATAGATCCTGGTTTTACAAGTTACAACTATTATGCCACGAACAGCTGGAGAATATCTGATGCGGCGTAAAAAAATGTTCATTCATTCATTCCAATCACTGTACCCGAAAGTGTAACTCTAGGAATGAGGTATTTTGAAACGTGTGAAGTGCATGTGGCAGTGATGCACCATGTAAGACAATTTGATGCGGTTGCAGCCTCTCTCAGTTACCTTGCACAGTAGCCTGCTCATGTAGCTCCAGTGCATGCTTAACCATGTAGTTGAGGATGAGGAAGATACCTAAACTGACTGTATGTATGTGAAGAGATCCGTGAACAAATGTTCACCTTTGAAAGCTCAAAATATACAGTTAGTCTTAACAGAATCAAGTATTTGTTGAATTATATAATATTTCGGCAGCCATTTTGAAATTATCTCCCTTATTTGAGAATCCAAATATATCATAAATGACACCAGTTCATCAAGAATTACATAATCTAATTATTTAACAATGCCCAAAGGTGATAGTTTCATTAGTCAGTTGCATAACCTAGGGAACATCATTTCCAGCAACAACAAATGTTTTGGATTGGGAGAAAATATTCATTTCTCTTCCGGGCTAGTACATAGTACCAGGCAGCACCTTCCGAACAGTAATCTGCCAGAAGACAGAATTTCGGAATTAACGAAGACAGTTCACAGTACATATTTCTATCCCACCAATGCACATACCATGTTACTTCAGTTTAGTTTACAGTTTGTTAATCTGGTTCCACTCATTTGCAACGAGGAAAATAATATTTAGAAGGTAAACTCACGTACTTTGTTCACATTGTTGTCCTGTAAATCCTGCCGAACAGTTACATATGTATGAGTTGATGGCATCAACACACACACCCTGAGCATCAGAGCACTTGTGACTAAGACAATCGTCAACTATATCTGGAACACAAGCATGCCAGTACTCATGATGAAAACAAGGCATTCCACAGTTCCTGAAACGAGCCAATGATGTGGGACATAATCAAAATGTAAATATACAGACATCAACTGATTATAGAACGTCAGATATAACAATGACTGCATAGTTATATTGAAGTGGGGTAGCACTATAAAACTGACAAAAGTCCAGACTAATGCAAGCAGCCACGCCCACAAAAGCAATAACAAACACGTTTATGTCTTTCCAAATCCACCAGAACATTACAAAAGTTGCGTCACTCCCTCAAAAGCCCATTTTAATGAAATGATGCAGTCTGTAATTTAGGATAACGATTCTCCCGATCATCATGATGTGTGTTTTGAGACAACGCTGTCATACTACCTGTTTCACAGTGGGCTCCCCCGAATCCGTCCATACACTGGCACTGGTACGCATGTTGTACTGCAGAGCACGTGCTGTTGTTTGAACACAAGGAGCTATTGCAACCTTGACTGTCTGAAACATACAAATGTAAACGCTGCTTACTATCTGAAACATACAACCTGAAACATACAACACTAAATGCAACTTACTATCTGAAACAGACAAGGCTAAATGCAGTTTACTGTCTGAAACATACAACCTGAAATATACAACACTAAATGCAGTTTACTATATATCTGAAACATACAACACTAAATGCAGTTTACTATCTGAAACATACAACACTAAATGCAGCTTGCAATCTGAAACATACAACACTAAATGCAGTTTCATATCTGAAACATACAACACTAAATGCAGTTTACTATCTGAAACATACAAACACTAAATGCAGCTTGCAATCTGAAACATACAACACTAAATGCAGTTTCATATCTGAAACATACAACACTAAATGCAGTTTACTATCGGAAACATACAAAACTAGATACAGTTTACTGTCTGAAAAATACAACACTAGATGCAGTTTACTATCTGAAACATACAACACTTATTACAGTTTACTATCTGAAACATACAACACTTAATGCAGTTTACAATCTGAAACATACAAAACTAGATACAGTTTACTGTCTGAAACATACAACACTTAATGCAGTTTACTATCTGAAACATACAACACTAATTGCAGTTTACTATCTGAAACATACAACACTTAATGCAGTTTACAATCTGAAACATACAACACTAGATACAGTTTACTGTCTGAAAAATATAACACTAGATGCAGTTTACTATCTGAAACATACAACACTAAATGCAGCTTACTATCTGAAACATACAACACTAAATGCAGCTTACTATCTGAAACATACAACACTAAATGCAGCTTACTATCTGAAACATACAACACTAAATGCAGCTTACTATCTGAAACATACAACACTAAATGCAGCTTATTATCTGAAACATACAACACTAAATGCAACTTAGTTTCTTGAGCATACCTCAACAAATTCATTCATACTCATCATGTTCACATATTTAGTGTAAGTGAAAGATTCCATCAGCTGCTTTTTGTCACGACGTTGTGTTATGTATTAGGTAAAAGCGGCAAAAAACATTTTCATAATCATAAGAAATCTCTAGGTAAATATGGCCTTTTGTCCTTAATATGTGCCTGTTCTGACAATTCATGATCATACATTGGGCAACTTCATTTAACAAATGAAAGTAGTTTCAGAAATGTAATAAACGTCTCAGGGACCGACCATTTCATATTCCGGGGGAGTGTGGTGGCGGGGGTGGCGGGGGGAGGGGGTGGGAGAGCTGGGATTTTATCGAAAAAAAGTATTGTCCCTGAAAATTCTTGGGAAGAATGATGCCTCAGACCTTTGAAAAAGGAAATTGCCTGCCACAAAAAAGAAAATAAAGACATATCGGGTTTTGCAGCTGATGCTTAGGAAATATCTAATATCGGTACAAAATCCCAGCAACCACACTCCTCAGAATATCAAATGCTCGGGTCCTCAGACCTGGCTTTCCTCATACACCAAGCTGATTCGCCATGATATAACTGAAATGAAGTTTATATCGGTGTAAAACATTAACTCATATGGTAAGTTTGCTGAGTGTTAATAAAAGTAATTGCTAATATGTGATATACATACTGTCAGTACACTGATAGGTGGGAATGGCCTCAACACAGGTACAAGGGTAAGGCACAGTGCCGGCACAACCTGATTTCCCGCATGGGGTTCCTGCTGGAACAAAGACAAATAAAATACGTGATGTCTGCCCCAGTACATCTTCCCGAGGCAAGAGAGTTAACTGACAATAACAGTCCAGTTTCCACCCTTGCCGAACTAGGCTGGAATTACTGGGCTCGATCGTAGCGCCACCAGTGACTATTACCAGTACAAATCCATGAATCAGGAACGTGATTTGTCATTATCCACAGTCCTCCCGTAAATGTTATCGACAGTCATTGTAGAGTGCTTGTTTAAACTTCAGCTTGAAGGGGGGCGGTCGGGTAGCCTAGTGGTTAAAGCGTTCGCTCGTCACGCCGAAGACCCGGGTTCGATTCCCGACATGGGTACAATGTGTGAAGCCCATTTCTGGTGTCCCCCGCCGTGATATTGCTGGAATATTGCTAAAAGCGGCGTACAACCATACTCACTCACTCACTCAGCTTGAAGGCGTTTGATTAATAATATATAACTATATTGACTGTATTATCACTGTCCTCCCAACGAATTGCCATAAGGTTAACATACGGCTGACCAAAGTCTGTTTTGTTCGGATAAAATGTGTCGTGATCAGGTTACGCCTGACCATAACATTTGCTATGCCGCAAAAGTATGGGATAGTGGGAATCATCAAGACATATCTTCTGATCTACGTGGCATTGGTAATTTTAAATGATATGGTCATATCTGCTTGGGGGCGGTCGGGTAGCCTAGTGGTTAAAGCGTTCGCTCGTCACGCTGAAGACCCGGGTTCGATTCCCGACATGGGTACAATGTGTGAAGCCCATTTCTGGTGTCCCCCGCCGTGATATTGCTGGAATATTGCTAAAAGCGGCGTAAAACCATATTCACTCACTCACTCACTCATATCTGCTGGGATGTAGGCGATCAGATATAATGGGTTCTTTTGGTTGGTGTGATGAGAGGGTGGCGGGGATCAAATTCGAAATTTGCATTTTGTAGCCAACGTCATTCACATTGGGTAAAACCACCTCTGTTTGCCAGACATGAAACATGCTTCTGTGCGTCGACCAATGTCAGCTTAACTCATGTTGTTCCACTTATCAGTGAAAGCTACACCAAGTTCATTGAGAGTGGTTGGTGGATTTTGACGCTGGCGTACACGTTTGCCAATGACGTCCCAGACGTGTTCAATGGAAGGATGGTCAGGACTGAGTGCTGGCCATGGCATGACGTGGATGTTTTGCTGTTGGAGAAATTGGGTCACAATCCTGGCACGATGAGTACGTGCAATATCATCTTGAAAGATGATACGTTGCCCAAGACGTTATGCAATTGGAATCAGGAGTGGTGCAATTATGTTGTCCCGATAATATTGACCCTTGACTCTGCCATGGACAGTCATTGTGATACCATCCTGAACCATTATGGACCCACCCCTAAAGCGATCATGCTGTACGACGTTAACGTCCATAAAACGCTCGATATGACTTCACTAAACTCGATTCCTTCGGTGTTGGAAGTCGATATTGAACCTCGTCTCGTCAGGTAGCAGGACATTAGCCGAACGTTGATTATCCCAGTGCTGACTCTCCCTACACCACCGACGTCTCTGGTTTCAGACTTGCAGTAAGGTGTAGTCTGACATGCGGACGTCACATTGATTTCACACCGTCTGGGCATGTTCTCTTACACCAGTTGCCTGTTGTATACTTTATCTGCGTGGGAGTTTGCAACCGATTTCTTAATGCCATCGTGCTGACTAATCGTCGTATGATCAATGTTGTTGCTTCCTTAAAGTTTAAATGTGTTTAATAAAGCGTTTGAGCGTTTGAGCGTTTGGATCCAAGAAAGCAATGCAATATGACAGTGCTGGTGCTGTCCGAGGTCATGTGCCTCATGACTGTCACAATGTTGTGGCATGCTTCATAAATCATTAACCCAATTCTGGTGTCCCAAGGCGCGTTATTATGCTGGAATATTGCTAAAAGCGGCCTAAAACCATACTCATTCACTCACTCATAAATCATTCTTAAAAAGCTTTTCATTGCCAGACACTGGTGTATTTTCCAGTCGTTTCCAGTAAAAACATTTGTTTTGCATAGTATAAAAAAGAGGTTTGCTCTACTCTCAATAAAGACAATTGATCATTTTAAAATGCAGCACAATGGTACATGTGTATAATATTTTGAGAAGATTGTGCGTTAAAACTACGATCGATGTTGTCAATACTTATTACAAATATAAGAATAAAGTGACCTCTAATGTTCTATAATGATCCTTATTTATCCTTAATAAATCACTACCTTGATTGAAAGTGATTCCTGCGGGGAAGCCAACAGCAGTCGATCCACTCTGTCCATAAGTAAGAAGACCAAACGGTATGCCTGCATCGTGTTCTATCATGTACACTGCAGTCAGGGGTGTACCTGACGCAACTGCGAAACAACATCCCTCTAGGACGGAGAACTGGGAGAAGATACTGGGACGGAGGCCAGCTGCTTTATCCATAGGAAGTATAACAGTTACAAAGTTAGACAACAGTACGCCAACAGAGATGTTGTGATTTACTGAGTACCAGCTGGAATAACTCTGGATGGACGGCACAATAGCCATGAATAGATTATTGTTTGGAATCTTTATTCCGTCGGTTCCTTTGGCAAAAAGCACAACCATAATAGGCATCTTGGATGAAATACACTGCGGACCATAGATCAAGGTATCTATGTCTACAAATTCCTGTGCCTTGATGTTGAAAAGTGATCCCGACGAACTCAGAACATCAGTGTCTTCACTGGCAACGACCCTGTAGACTGTTCCTGAAGATCTTCCAGGAAGGTCATGAAGCACATAGTTAAAGCCATACGCTGAGACAGGTATGACCATTTCCATCAACCGATCGGAAGATTTACTTCCTTTTGGAAATTCAGTCCTGGTTGAGCCAGAGACAACTGCAACTGGTTTAGAACTGACAATACGTGTGCCTGTTAGATCGTTAGAGCACTGTACTCCAATCATCTCGTTCTTCTGAAGCTCGAATTGCAAGAACTTTCCATCTTGGTGTTTTGCCTTTCCGCAGGATCCACCGAGAGGGAGTTTGAGACTGATGGTTACATTATTGCTATCCGCTGATGACATAATTATGATGCCAGATGTCGATCTGTTTGTTAAAGGAAAATTTACAGAAAAAACTGATACGATTTCGGAAGATACTGCAATGTATGTATTGGACAACGATTGTACAGGGATGGCCAAGTATCCATCTGATGCATCATCTGAGAAATAATACGCAGACACCGATATATCTCCAGTAGAGATGACAGCTATTGTTTCCTTTGTTACCTCCAGGTCGCCATGGTAGAAGGTAGAATTGAGAAAGTCCACCTGGGTAGACGTGTTCTCCGTCACCACGACTACCTCAACAATGTCAAATGCCATGCTTTTAATGATGACTGTACTTGTTGTTTGAGCTGTTATGCTGATGAAGTATTTTGCATTGTGAGAAAAGAACGGTTCCAGAAATCCTATGAGGAATTCTCTACCGACGTGATTTCCTCCAACGGCACCTGTAACACAGTACAAAGGATAACAGGCAAATTTAATTAGCTTTTGATATTGTATAAGATATCGTATTGTGTGTGTGTGTGTGTGTGTGTGTGTGTGTGTGTGTGTGTGTGTGTGTGTGTGTGTGTGTGTGTGTGTGTGTGTGTGTGTGTGTGTGTGTGTGTGTGTGTGTGTGTGTGTGATTGTGTGTGATTTTGTGCGAGCGTGCGTGTGTGTGTGTGTGTGTGTCCGGGAAATACCAAACGTGATCCCCCCTGTTAAGATAATAGACTTGTCCGACATTGCCGAGTTCGGAGAGTGTTCAGGGAGTCAACATTAGTGTACATTTCATAAAGATCCTTATTAAACAGGCTGTACATAATGTTGATATCTCATATAAGATAATAGAGTAGCAACACAAGTATAAATAATCAGAAATATGGAGGGAAACGAGATTAAGGCATTTGCAATGATACTTGTGTCAAGCCAATATGTTAAAACACTGCTTGTACTGTACACACTCATTTTGCTGTGCATCGACAGTACAGGACCGGATGGTAAACATACTCATGATCAAGATTTCTTTATAATCCCACCTCTATATTTCGTTATTTTAAGCAGTATGTCCTCCATTTGATAATATTTTCTTATTATATTTCCCAAATGAAGTAACACATATATCACGCCTATTATTGTTAAAAATAGCCATGTGAAGGTGCCTTTAATACCTTAATCAATTACTTATATGTGTACAATGCATTATCATTATAACGTAACGTACCTGTCATAATCACAATCCACCATATCATTAAAGACGTATTCTTGTCCATGGTCACGATCGGGAATTGTTGAGACCCGGCGTACCTACGTAGAGTTGATATGAAGGCAGTCCTATCGAATTGAACCTTAAAAAACACAAGATACATGTAGTGAATCAACTTTGTACCGTATACCCGCCGACGGGATCTGTATATATGCCAGATAGACGAATCTATGAAATCATTATGTTTTAAATAAAAAGCAAATATTTCAAAAACAGGTAGCGTTTGATAATTGCAGTCAAACGAGGGTCGTTAGTGTTCTTGTTTCCGAATACTCCTTATAATAAAACGCGGTCTTGTCACGGTCTTGTCCGGCTTCCGTCACCAATCGGCAAAGTCCGGCGGTCGTTGTGGTTCAGTGTCTTTGCATTCATTTTTTTCAGAGAGTGGTGACCCGTAAATTTTATTCTCTAGCTTTATAATCGCATACTTTCTTCATGCATTGATTTGATACATTTTTCTTAAATATGTGTGGTACCTTATTCATGTATGGAAAATGTGTTTGCTACTTTGATTTTCACGCAGCAGCGAGATTATCTTGCATTTGTAAATGTTTATCATGTATGCATGGACAATTTTGCTACCTGTTATAAGGTTAAAAATGCATCTTAGAAACTAATGATAATAAATAGAACCATTATAGCTGCAATGAGGAATTGCATTAGATATAGTTTGTGACAGAACTGGTAGTTGGAAAGGAATCAATAGAGAAAAGACATTTCACATTTATCACAAGTGTATTCTGGACATTTCACATTTATCATTGGATTGATCTCTGGCTATCGTCCATGAGTTAATGAAACAAATGGGGAATTACAAGGCATAATTCATTTGGAGCGAGTCACAAAATCAATAGAGAGATGAGCAAGCTGGCACTTAGGCTTTAGTATTTTTCCGATGGCGACACACTTGAGTTCATGGTCAGATCTAAACTTGTTACGAATCAAATGGAGGTATTGAGACATGTGACAAGGACAGGCCAGGCTCGAACACTATAAAATGATACCCTCAACATTAGGAGAGGAGAGCGCGGTTTGCAGTCGACCGAGTCGAATCCCGATCGTTCTAAGTTTCCACCAGCTAGTGACGAGCCTGGCCAGTCTGATCCTGTTCTGTAGTGATAGATGGGCTGAGAGTAAGTAAAACTATGTGAGTATAAACTGGTGTTGCGTTTCTTTATTATGCGGGTGTGAATGCTGATAGAGACAACTTGGAGTAAGGGTCATTAGGCCAATCACTCCTTGACGGAGCCGAGCCGTGGTGGACAAGGCGAGGGCAATGTCCTGGCTTAATTGACCACAAGGACCAGGAACGGCAATACATTTAGTAACTGTAGCAGGGTCGCACTGGACGCCCAAAGGCAGTTACGACATACCTATATAATGGTGCATATCTGGTTGTAAAACTTTAGTGGTGCCGTTGGATAGCTTATATTCAGCGCTTTATTGTGGTATTTACATCTTCCGTATTGGGTTAGTACTTTGTTTGCCATTCGGGTTTTCCCTATGTTAGAAAACTCTTTGGTTACCTCATCAGGCTATTGCATTCCAGTGGTGGCCAGGTTGACCTCTCCGAGGTCCGCGCACACGCATACTACCCTTGGGAAAATCATATGTCTTGATCGACCGGGATCGCTAGACCGTTTACGCTACTGGGTTGTCATTCCTTCCTAAGTAATTTCGGGGCAGTTTTAATCTAGTTCTGACTTGCTCAGGTTGTATGGAGCTAAACGTATCAACTAGGGTTTTTTAACTCTGTTTTGTTTTAATCCGTGGATAACCAACTTGTCTGGTTTAGGTCAGTCGTAAATACCTGTGTGTTTAAAGACCTATTTACGACTGGGGTCCAGTTACTGTTTTGGTAAAGTACCTTTTAGTGATATTGTATTTTGGGAACTTTAGAATCTCAATGCCTAGTCAAAGTGTTCACTTAGCTACCTACTTTGTTGTTACTGTTATACAGTTAATTGGCTAATCAGCTGGTATATTTGTTCTGGTTTCATTAATCAGTGACAGTTGCGAAAATGGCGTTTTTGATACTTTTTATCGTCATTTATACTTACAACTAGCTGATAATAATAAACTTGTGAACCTTTTACCATGTTTCCGTTATTACCTTATTCTGGACACCATGGTCTCCTGGGCATAGCTCTGTGACAATCGTCTGGGTGGAAATCAAAAACGTGAAAGTGATACGTCTTTATCTTACAGATTATAGTCTTTCGCACGTTTTGCCATTTGACACGTACAATTCACTGACCACGTCTCTTGTGCACTGAGAACAAATAGTTTTGTCACACAGAGAAAAACCCTTTTGCATGGATTCGAAGCAAAAGTAATTAGAAAGTAAGTATGGGAATGTGTGATGAAGTCCGGTTGGCTGAAAAGCGTTTCTCTTGTTAAAAATGGACTGGATCCCGGAAATCTCTCGGTGTGCATACTTCTTGGTGATTTTTTTTCCCAATCCCAAATTTGAAAAGAACACCTTGCCATTGGTAAAATGGATATCTCATCAATTAGATAGTTATAACGTTTGATCGGTATTTTTAGTGAGTGAGTATTGTTTTACGCTGCTTTTATGAGTATTCCAGCAATAGTCACAGTAGGTGAAAACACAAATGGGTTTCACACATTGTATCCATGTGGGGAATCGAACAATTTTATGTATGTACAATATCATATACACGATCACATACAAGGTGTTTGCAATTTAGAGCTATTACACTTTTACATACATGTTTCGTAGGTACGCATACACACACGCGCGCGCATATACACACACGCCCACACACGCACGCACGCATACACACACACACATACACTCACACAAAAATACCCACCCCTAAACATATATGTTAAATACACAGAATTTAACAACTGACAATTTGATCCAGAAAATAAATCATTACTATAACCACGCCCAACAACATTAGATACCGATCAAAGACATTCTGTGAAGCCCATTTCTGGTGTCCCCCGCCGTGATATTGCTGGAATATTGCAAAAAGCGGCGTAAAACAATACTCACTCACTCACTCACTCAAAGACATTCAGAATGTACACATCCATCTTATTGGGTAATGTAACGAATAAAGGAAAACACAACCGAACATATATTTGAATGATATGATAATCTTAAGAAATCAAAACATAATTATAGGTATCTTACCACTCGTTGTGCGTCCACACTGTGTTCTGCAGACTCTACGAATAACATTTTCAAGGGATAAACTGTAGGAAAAGTACCTAGAATCGATAAACGTCACGTGTCTGATGTTCCCGCAGTGCAGCTGCAGTTGTTGTCTGTCTCTGAGCTACCGGCAGTGGTCGTGCATGTAGCCAAGAAAAAACATTTGTCTTTATAACTTCCATTAGCCGATTGATTGTATGTACGAACGTACCAAGCCAACATATGAAAGAATAGTTTCGCTATGAATCAATACATCGGAACAGTCTCGGTTGAAGAGAATGATTTTGATTTTTAAAATTGTAATAACTACATGATAAAGCTAACAGGATGCAAGTCTTTTTAATCGGTGCACTTGTTTACCTTCCAGGCTAGTTGACAACGGACACAGTAAACTACTTTAAGGCCACAGACAGGGCGTGAGAAAATGTAAAGTAACAAAAAATCAATGCACATTCTACTGTTATAAGGATTTTCAAGGCGAAAATGAGGATGAATTATCATATCAGCATATACGAGAAATATTATCGTGTGAGTGAGATTGTGATTGTGTGTGTGTGTGCGTGTGCGTGCGTGCGTTCGTGCGTGCGTGCGTGCGTGCGTGCGTGCGTGTGTGTGTGTGTGTGTGTGTGTGTGTGTGTGTGTGTGTGTGTGTGTGTGTGTGTGTGTGTGTGTGTGTATGTGAGAGTGTGTGTGGTGTTTTACGCCGCACTCAAAAATATTTTAACTATATGAAGGCAGCCTAAAAAAGATCCATTCTGCAAAAGATAATCCAGTGATCTATATTGTGAGAAACGATTCACGCGGTAGCGAAACGAAATCACGTAATAAACCAAGTCACCGAGCCTGACACCAGATCCATTTGTCTCCTCTACCGTCCAGCACTGGTGGCTGGCTACCTAGTCTAACTCCAAATCCATTGGGGACTCTGTGCTGAATTTGTATTGTTTATCATGCCGAAATATTGGTTCAGAAGATGTTTTACAAACTGGTATGTGTGGTAGTCCATGCAGTCGGTTTCAAACGACGACAAACGCTCATACGGAGAGATTGAGAGACCACTGTTGTTGTTTGTTGGTTTGTTGTTTTACGCCGCACTCAGCAATATTCCAGCTATATGACGGCGGTCTGTAAATAATCGAGTCTGGACGAGTCAATCCAGTGATTGACATCATGAGCATCGATCCACGCAATTGGGATCGATGACATGCATCAACCGAGTCAGCGAGCCTGACCACCCGATCCCTTTAGTCGCCTTTTACGACAAGCATAGTCGCCATTTACGGCAAGCATGGGTTGCTGAAGACCTATTCTACCCCGGATCTTCACGGGTAATATGTGCATTTTGCGTGATTTTGTGCCAATTTGTTCTTCATAACAGTTGCCGAGATAAGATCGAGTGTCACTTATTTACTTTGAGATATTTACTATTTCTTTTCTTTTAAACAAGTTTACCGTTACACGGTGATTGGGGTATGTAGCGATTACGTTTTTACTTACTTGTAGGACGTAGACATTTATCAACACATATGGAGAAATAAGAAGAACGTTAATTTCAAGAGCTGTGACAATATTCAGTGCAATAGTATTGGTGCCTGTCAAGTATTAGGTTGCAAACTTAACATTATTGACTAGGCAAGATGTTAAATGTCAGATTTACTTTAAAAGATTTGTATGTATTTGCCATGGGTAACCTTGTTATTAAAGCATTCGCTCGTCACGACCAATGCCCTGGTTCCCCATATGGATACTATTCCCGTAATATTTCAAAATGAAAAACCCTATTCACTCATTTGCACTAGTTATGAACATTATGTAGGCAGAAGTTCACCGCTGTGGTCACATGATATTCACAGCCACTGTCGCGTGTCTGACAACACTCGCACATACACACACGATGGTCATCGTGACATTCAAGATAATCTATCTGACGTGACAAAAATAGTTCCCCAGCTTAGAAGGACAGATTATCAGATTGGAAGGTTCCTGTTGAGCTGGGCTGTCGATTAGCACCTATCGTCTTTACTTATATTGTTCCTTGTGGTTCGACGTTGTGTAGATACACTTGGCAATGTATGTCATGAAGAACGCAGATTGTATCACATGGTATTATGTACGGCTGATAAAGGTATAGCTATCACATGAATATTGGTTATTTACTGCAACTGGAATAACCGTTAGTCCAGTTGTACCAACACATTGTATGTACTTCACATATGCCGAAATATTGAAATACTATTGGGCTGATCTAATGGCTGCGTCTTATTATGTTCAACGAAAAGTAAACAATTTCACACCTTTATAACTCTATATCTGTTGATGTTTATTTTCGAAAGTGAAAAAATAGTCTAGGCTTTGCAAGACTCTTCCACGTGTTCGCGGTCATCTTATCTAGCTTTGGTGGCACGAATGAGTGAAACCATTATAACCAGAGCATGTGATCCTAGAGGGGCGGTCGGTAGTCTAGTGGTTTAAGCGTTCGCTCGTCACGCCAAAGACACGGGTTCGAATCCAGACATGGGTACAATGTGTGAAGCCCATTTCTGTCCCCCGCCGTGATATTGCTGGAATATTGATAAAAGCGGCGTAAAAAATATTCACTCACTGATTCATGTGATCCTAGAAGCAAACAATTATACACATCATATTTCAATCTCTTAGCTTCAGCCACTTTTGCTCAAACTGCGCAGTGATCTGCAATTGGGATAAACAAAGTGTCGAGTTCCATTACCGGTATATTAGACAGCGATAATTCGGAAGCGAACGCGGTTACATCTATCGATAGGTAACCTAGCTCTACATCGACAACCAAGTATGTTTATCAATCTCATTAAAATCAAATCTTTGTACTCGTTACAGCTAAACAAAGATCTGAGGACATTCCATTAGGGGTCACGTCAGAACGACCTTTCATCCGACCAATCAGAGCGTCGCTTACTAGATGATGAAAGTGACATTCGGAACGTGTTTTCTAATCATGCAACCACGAAATATTTGACACGGGATATTCGGAACGACAGTTACGGGTTTTATGATTATATCCATACAATCTAGGCCATATATAAGCCATTCAAGAGTGTTCTTTTTATCAGTTTTAATTTTTTTAATCGAGAATACGCCAAAATATGTTTCGAAGCGTAGTCGCCAGTTTGATACTAGTGTCGTAAAGCTCGAGAAAGCTGCCTTCTGATTGGCTAATGTCGATTTCTTGTCCGTCATTTCAAAATTCGAGAAAGGTCGTTCTGACGTGACCCGTAATGGGATGTCCTCAGATCTTTGTTTAGCGGTAGCGAGAACTAAGATCTGATTTTAATGAGATTGGTATGTTTATCTATATGCTAACCTCATCCTTGATATTTACTACCTGGTCACACCAGGTATGGGTAGTAAGCAGTAGATCGGATGACGTCACAAATGACCGTTGTGTTTTGTATTATTGCGCCCCTGTGGTTATGAGAATAGACGAAATATGAGTTGAGTTGAACCGCTTTGTTTTATTTTGTCACCTTTCTTTGCGACAATGCAACAACATTCCCTACATGTTTATATTTCTATACATTCCCGAAATATTCCCCGTTTTCAGAACCTTACAAATGGAATGGTAGTTTGGTCTTTATTAAAACATATTTGAAAACACTTGGGATCTATATTTACGTAGGTGTGAGAAGTTTGTAGCAATCTATCATTACATGACTACACATCACAATAAACGAAAAGTTTGCAGCAATCTATCTGCAGCCTACACACTTTGGGATCGAAAACAAGGTAGACTGTAGACATTTCAAAATTCTAATTTATCGAATACACCCTATAAATATGTATCGCTTCGATTCTAAAATGGTACGATTTTTGGGTGTGTAAGATACAGATTACCTTTCTCGTGCCTGTCAGGTACTCGTGCAGTAGTCTTTACTTTACGCACTCGACTCGTGTCGGGTAGCACTGACAGGAATCAATAATGGAACTGTTTGTGCAAGTTGACTGTCACAACACAACAAGACGTCAGTCAGATTATTTCAGTTTGCTTTTGTTAAAAAATCAAAATGAACAGGTAATTACTTTCAAGCCGAGAATAAACTGCTCCCATAACGGCTCTCATGTTAAGAGAACTATACAGTCACTGTGGTATCTGGTGTTACACGGTTTACTGTGAAATCATACGTTGAGTTGAACCGCTTTGTTTTATTTTGTCACCTTTCTTTGCGACAATGCAACAACATTCCCTACATGTATATGTTTCTATACATTCCCGAAATATTCCCCGTTTTCAGAACCTAACAAATGGAATGGTAGTTTGGTCTTTATTAAAATATATTTGAAAACACTTGGGATCTATATTTACGTAGGTGTGAGAAGTTTGTAGCAATCTATCATTACACGAAAGTTGTTGAATGACTACACATTACAATAAACGAAATGTTTGCAGCAATCTATCATTACACGAAAGTGGTTAAATGACTACACATTACAATAAACGAAATGTTTGTAGCAATCTATCATCACGCGAAAGTGGTTACATGACTACACATTACAATACACGAAATGTTTGTAGCAATCTATCATCACACGAAAGTGGTTACATGACTACACATTACAATAAACGAAATGTTTGTAGCAATCTATCATCACACGAAAGTGGTTACATGACTACACATTACAATAAACGAAATGTTTGTAGCAATCTATCATCACTCGAAAGTGGTTACATGACTACACATTACAATAAACGAAAAGAAATCAGAGGGACGGGTGGTGGGATTTTGGATGGAGAAAACATTTTCTTCATCTACAGCTGCTAAAACGTGAAAACACATTGCCTCAATTTCATCTTTTAATACATGATACATGTATTTACGATATTTACTACACAGAAACACACTCGGTTATTTATCTGCATTTATCATTACAGCAGATTTTGCTCAACACTTGAGAAAATCAATGACTAGAGCCGTACGGATGTGAGACCCCTTCAAGTCAGTAGTATGTCACGTTGCATTGTAAACAAACATCTGCTTACGTAATACATCGATATGTC